GGCAACGGTTTTGAGTTATTATCCGCGTCGACGGTTTAAGCTGTGTGCCAGGATTCTAGTGTTTTTCGAACCCGGTAATTGTTGCTTTTGTCAACAACACAAGCATTATCGAAGTCAATGGAGTGGCTGTGTTGCCACGCATGGTTTGCGACATTTGAGCCCTTTGTACAGTTCTTCAAATTTCGTTGATGTTCCTTTTTTCGGGTTTGGAAGCATCTTCCGGTTTCTCCTATGTAGTTCCAAGTTTCTCTTTGTTTCACATAACCCCTCGGGCGAGCTCGTTCGACGCTAAGTAACTCTAGATATGTTTTAATGTGTTTGGTAATTGGTATGGTAATTTGTATGGTCAAAGCTATAAATTGGATTAAATCTTACTCCTATTTTTCGTCAATGATACACGCTTACAAAAGTCTTGCAACCCAAGCAGTTATTTTGAATGAAAAGGAATATTGCCGAGTTAAACTGTTAACTTTCTTGCAGCAATAGTAACGAAACAGTATGGACACTAAGTTTATGAAGGACATGTCAACACTGTTAATTTCGTGTCCAGTACACGTAATGCCTCCCTTATTAAGTATCCAACAAATTCTTTGCTAGAAGCTACAGAGAGTTTTAGCGTGACGCGTGATCACCCCAAAATTAGTAGCGTGATTCGGGATTGAGACCAAAATTAGCCGGGTGACATCATAACGTGATGCGTGATTTGCTATTTTACAAGTACGTGATGCGTGATTTACCGACTAGATTTCCGTGATAAGTGAACGTTCTTTAAAATAGAAGGATTCCATTCATTAAAGTAAATAGTAAATAGAGTTTTAAAAAAGATCAATAAATCGTGGCAGACGTGACACCATTTTCTGGTCTTTTTCGTCCTTTTTTTGACCTCTGATGTCTTTGATCTTCGTTGATCTTCATGGTGCTATAGGTCCAAACAGTTGCGACACAACAGGAGTAAGTCGATCGAAAATAGTGAAACTTTGCACAAGGACTATAAATGTCAGTGTTGTTTTTGTCCATTTCGTCGACCAATCATTTTTGGCAGTACATCAGACCATATTCGAATCTCAGGCTATCGTATAAAAGGTCTGAAAGAATCTCGTCCCAAACAGCTGAAACAATAAGAGACGTTGGAGTTTGGTGTCATTCTATGCCCGGTCTCCCGTACGGGTCACCAATTTTATGTTGGACAATAATTGTCATTTTCGGGGGAAAATGTTTGGAATATTTGCCGATGTATTCCTGTGGTTGAATCGGCAGAGTTCTCCTTTTAAAGACACTTTTAGGGTCGAGAAAGTAAAATCGGCGATGCACTTACTTCCTTTTACATGACGCGTGATTGGTGAAAAAAATTCTCCGTGATGCGTGCTTTAATAGAAAAATTCAGCATGATGCGTAATTGGTACCCCCCCCCCCTTCCCCTTATGGCACCCTCTGCATTTCTAATTGTCGCTAGCGCTCGCCCAAGTAAAACGAACGCGCTTTAACCAGTTCTATCGTAGAAAATGTTAGGACGTAATCACTCTGGACATAGTTAGTACAGGGTGGCTTCTATTAACTAAGCTCTGGAGAGGGGTCTAATCGTGTGGTGTGAAGCCTTCTTCAGATCTCTACTGGTCACAACCTCTGTTGACATAGAACTGCTTACCAAAGCTACCCTACTTTTATGTAATGTCTTTTTGTGTTAACAGGACCTCAGCTAAGCAGAGAAAACAATAACAACTCTATTGATACACCGGACAAAACCTTTTTAAAGCTTTTGTGCGACAGTCGCTGGTACAATCTAAGTATTGCAACATCACCCATTGTAACATCTTCTTACATTTTGTGTTTGCTTGTTCCTCTGTTCCCACTCTTGTGCATTCTTTTTTATCCTAAACTAAGTGCAATTCACTTAAAGGGCGTATAATTTCTCTGACTATATTTTGTCGTGCTCCATTTCTTCTCACTGTAATTGTAATAAACTGTTGTATTTCAAGATGAAGTGGAGGAAGAAAACCCTCATAAATAAAAATACAAACTTTTCTTGTCACTTTACACTGATGAAGTGCTAACACTCGAAAACCAAGCTTCACAAACTCGCTAACGCGGTATATTATATTCCAATAATAAATGCCTTGCGGACCTATCTAGATATAACACTAAACAAAAGAATAGCGCTTTGTCTCGCATGACATCAATAGCAGACCATTTGGCAAGTTACCCAAACTCGTGATCCTAGTATCACGTAACCAGCTGAAGCAGTTTGTATTCCACTATAAACGTTGAGGAATTGCGGATTGATATCGCCGATCGAAATCATGGCTGTTCAAAGGCAAAGTATGCCTTCCTTTGCTTCTATTATTTCTGTTCTCTCCATTGTGTTTTACTGCGCCGGCTTTTTAAGAATTGAGCTGGAACTACACGAGCAAAAGAAAAGAATAAACGCTCTTGAGAACGTTGCGGAGGCCAAGTCGCCGCCAAACAACGCAGACATGAAGATAATCAAGAATGCTCCTGGTAAGTTTTTCCGATACAAGCTAGATTTGACAAGTTGTTACAATCATGAAATATAATTATCAAAATCAAAGCTTGTTCCAACTGCTTGTTGCGTAACGTCTGTGAGTTAAAGACAAGTCGAAAATAAACGTGTTTCTACATGTCTGTTTGTGCTGTGTAGACGCAGTGTCTGAACTGAAGGCTAGCAGGTCAAGGTTTTCTTTAATCCACCGTAGACAATTTCACGTAAAAATAATGATTGAAAATAATGATTCTTGATTCAGACGCATTTTTCTTCAGCCAAGACTTACGCAACGAAAAGGAAAAAGTCCCTTTAGCTTTTTTTTCATCAAACTTGGCAACACCAATGGGATCGTTATTTTACAGTTTTTTCGTCAGGAAATGAGCAAAGGATAAGTTGTCTACTGATGCTCCAATTACTTTTTTTACCCTCGATTCAAGGAGACGTCAAGTATTTTCTTTTCAGTCATTGCGTGAAGCTAGAAATGAAAACTTTATGCTCGCCTGCGGCGATAATGGTAGCACGGACACTAAAAATCCTTGCCTTTAACACAAACTTAAGATCATTATAAATGCTTTGCATATTGTAGTCTTTCCGTCTTTTCCATTCAAATACATTTTCGTTTCTTCCCACAAGGTCCATCCTCTAAACTCCTCAGACACAGCCGTCAACTTGACTCAACTGAGAACTCGACAGAAGCTAAACATACAGCTGAAACGATGCTCAAAATCAACAACCTTTTATCGGAGTGGAGGAAGCACCTCTGTCAGTCAAAGGGTGTCAGTTGCTCGTCAGGTCCCCAAGGACCTCCCGGTCTACCTGGACCACGAGGACACAAAGGAGCCCGGGGACGAAGAGGACAGAAAGGAAGGACTGGAAACAAGGGTGATCAAGGTATTATGGGATCGCCAGGAAAGAGCGGCAAGCAAGGTATTATGGGACCTGTAGGACTACAGGGAGAGACTGGAAACAAAGGCGAGAAAGGAGACATAGGACCCACTGGCATGCCGGGAACTAAAGGCGAACCCGGTGAATCGATATCATCTCCTGCTGTTGTTGTTTCTCCTGTGACGTTGACAGTAAACGAAGGTGGAACAGCCTCGTTTCAGTGTTTAGCCAGCGGTAATCCGGAGCCGGCAGTAACGTGGAGTAAACTGGACAGCCAGTCACAAATCACTCAGTCAGCGGTTTCAGGAGGAAACCTGGAGTTAAAGAAGGTGACCGGAAGTGACGCAGGCGTGTATCAGTGTTCAGCAAAAAACATCCTGGGGAATTCACAAGAAGTGGTGCGGTTAGCAGTAAATGGTGAGTTCTTGAATTATTTAAAACTGCTAACAAAATTACACGAAACAGTTATTTTAGGGCAGATTTAAAAGTTTAGAAGAAACAACTTGTGTTTATGCTATTGGAAATATACTGGATATTTATTCCTTGTTTAAACTTTAACGAATAGTTGATAATTCTCAAACAGCCCCAGACTGAATGAAGGCTTTTGTATGCGTACCGTGTTCTAAAAAAAGGTACTCTAAAAGTGAACAATAGTTTGACGAGTGTCCACTTATGTCCAGGATTGAGCGCAAGTGTAATTTAATTAGTACTTCATATTTTGCAGGGTTTTTTTGACATTTTCATATTACTTCATATTTTACAGAATTGTGTGTGTTTTGGTGACCTTTTACCAATGAGGACACTTTGTGATGCTTATCATAAGAAATTTGAATCTCATTAGCGTTCAATCCTGGACATATCTGCGAGTGTCAGTTGTACTGAGACATTTAAATTTTCTCCTAATGTCGGGTGAACTACTAGATCACTGGCAGCACTACTACTACTTCTTGTAGTGTTTCCTGATTTGATTGGAAGGAACCGCGGATGGAACAGAAATTCGTTAAGTTTAAATGCTTAAATAATAACGTTTACTTAATTTCAGTTCTTCCCCGTGTTTCTCTTCATCCGGGACCTTCGTACGTCACCGAAGGAAGTAATGTCACTCTACCAACCTGTCACGTGACCGGATACCCGGCACCAGTGGTGACTTGGAGGAAGTCGATTGGCCAGTTACCCCCGGGGAGGGCGCACTATAACAACAAGGTCTTACAAATTTACGATGTCCGTAAAAGTGACTCTGAAACCTATCTTTGTTCAGCAGTCAACCTTTTAGGAAATGTTAAAAGGAAAACTCAACTAGTTGTGATTTCCCTTCCTGTGTTTACCGTTAAGCCACCAGGAAAGGTGTTTGCTGTTACTGGCGACACTTTGACGTTAAACTGTAGCACTACTGGTGACCCACGACCAGTCATCAGCTGGAAAAGACAAGGAGCAGCACTGCCCGTAGGGAGGAGTCAAAGGACAGACGAAAAGCTCATTATAAGAGATTTCAGAGAAGGGGATGCTGGGAACTATATTTGTGTGGCTACAAGCGCACGAGTGTTTCATGCCGAGACAATAAGTAACGTTGAAGTTGTTAAGGGAAGAGGTTCCGGTAAGTTACATTGTATGAGTGGAATGATTAAATTATCGCAATTATCATAAAGATAGTTGATTCCCAGAAGTCCGATAGTACTTCTGTTAACCAAGAGAAACAAATTAAAACTAGTCAGCTAGCGCTGCCTTTTCGTATTTAACTCGTAAATCGCGATAGCGAGTTACTTCAAAGTAACTTCTAAGTATACTTCAAGTGATAGAGCCATTCATGGGCTGCCCTGGATTTGCTTCTCTTACAAACTGTCGATTTGAGTTATTGCTAAAGGACCAAACAGCATAGGTGTGCCTGAATATCTCGGCACTGTCTCAGCAGTGTGAACTTCATTTCGAGTGACTGCACCAGGGAGTGCAAAGGCACTTACATGACTGTGTTTATCTTCCGACCCGCGGAAAGCAGGTCTAATAATTCTCATTAAAAAAACTGATTGAAGTTGGAGTTTTACATTTTCTATGTTGGCTTTTATTTTGTTGAAAGCCGGACGTTTGTAAGCAAGCGAGTAGTACGATAATGATGAGCATGTTGAACGGCAAATCTTGCGCGATGTTCTGATATGCCGAAGAAAAACGCGTTTGATAGACATTCAATTCGCTGAAATTGTTTTGCTAGTTCATAAGTAAGCTGGTAAGGATGGTTGAACTCGACTTGAAAGTGTACTTCGGCTCTTTTGAGATGCGTTGNTCATAAGTAAGCTGGTAAGGATGGTTGAACTCGACTTGAAAGTGCACTTCGGCTCTTTTGAGATGCGTTGACACAACTACATAAGGGACTACCTAAGTTGAAATTTGACCCGTTCACATCTAAAGTACTTAAGGTCTACTTACTCCACTAGTATACGGGCATTTTCCCTCCTGTGCTACAATCCCAGGTAGAATATTACTGGATATTACGCGCATATACCGTTTGACATGTCTTGGACAACGTGTCTGGTATTCAGTCCGGAGAAAAGATCGTTGTAAATACTATTGTCAGAATCATTATTTTCAATAAAAGAACCTTTGGTTATTCCTTATTGTAGTTTTTCTTCTGTTTTAAAAACATCAGTGTCTTTTTGTGAACAGAGTTATTCGATATTACAAATAGGTCAACTCTTAACAAACTTCGTGCAAAATTCCTTCCTATTACAGTTTCTGTAATATAATGCTAGCTTTTAAAGAAGACATTCGATAAAGGAAGGAGGAAAAATAAATTCCTTCCTATCACTACCCGCCAAGATAACTGACTAGAAATTTTAGGTTACACTAAAAAGTTGAAATTAATACGTAAGTTTCTCCTTTTTGTCAGATTGTTCGGACCTGCTAAAATCTGGCCATATTCAAAGTGGATTGTACTCTGTCAACCCAGACGGCAGAGGACTCTTTACTGTCTACTGTGACATGCGCACTGACGGTGGAGGCTGGAC